GTTCAATATCACCAACATTAACAATCCAGACAATCATATTGTTGCCATCGAGCTGGACACAATCCGGAACCCCGAATTCAGCGATATCAACGACAACCATATTGGAATCGATTTTAATGGATTAATCTCCAGCTTATCTGCTCCAGTAGCATATTTTTTGGAACCTTCTGAATGTGGCTTGCATCGTCTATTTGAACAATTCTGATTATGATGACAAAATCCATCTTCCGGCCATCGTCTCCGGCATCTTATGAAGGTTCTCCATCATCAAGTTGGTGCTTGTGCTAGCTTTCTCGATTCTAGCAAGCTCTCTTTGACTCTGTGTGTGTACTGGGATTTTTTTTTTTTTTTTGAACTCTACGAGAGCTTTGTGAAAGACAAAGAGCAGAGCCCCTAGCAAAGTGACAGAACAGCTATGCCGGTGGTGGCTATTGATAGAATATCGTTGGTGCCATTTATTTCCGCCGAGTAGGAGGTAGAGGAGCTATTGCGTCCGCAAAGAAGAATTCTGCTTGAAAACAGAGGAGTTGGAGTTGCTGGAGAGGAACGGAAACAGAAACGAAGGCATAAATAGCATCAATGGGGTGTTTGACGAAAGTCCCCGTTCCTTTCAAGCTGCAGCGATGACAGAAACATGACATCCTCGGAGAAGCAGGGGAAAGCGTTGAATCAAGGATTTTTTTGAGAGGAGATGGAGTGGATTTAAAGTTTTAAACAATTAATAGTATTTTTGCATTTAATTAATATTATTTTTAAAAACTTAATTTATTTTTTAAATTTTATTAAAAATATTATTTTTATTGATCCACTTAAAAAACAAAAAAAGATGATTGTTGGAAGTAAGTCCATTTAATTTCGGTCAACAGCCAAGTAGATAACCCAAGACCAAGAGAGCCGAGAGCGGAGGCCAGCAACACCTTTGAAGGGCGTAGTAGCAACCTCAGTTCTATTGTCATCCTTTGATTTCATTCCTAAGGGGGTCAAGCTCCCTCAAATCTCTTACAGGTTTGATCTCTCTATCTCTCTTCTCGTTGGTTTTTTCTCAATTACTTATTGATTTTGCACTCCATATGGAACTGGGTGCTTCAAACATATTCTGAAAATTCCTTTTTCTTTTTCTCTGCATCTTTAATTGGATATGGGAATTTCATTTTTTCAAGAGGGAGAGGTTTTCTGGTTGACGGATCTGTTGCAAAGGTAATCCTGGGCATTTATTCAATAAATGCTGTCACATAGGCCTTACTTTAGCATTTAGCCCATTATGCAAACGTAATGGTGGGCATTTATTCAATAAATGCTGTCACATAGGCTTTATTTTAGCATTTAGCCCATTATGCTGATTCGTAGGCATAGAGATTTGCAAAAGCATGACTCGATTTATGTGCATGTCTAACGTTGAAAGAAACTTTATTTTAGTATTTCCCCCAATAAATAGGTGTTTATTTACTGTTTTGCTGATATGGTGCCTAATGGCATCTAATTATCAATAAACGATTCAATTATTATTTTTCTTAATTTCATAAATAAATCAAGTACAAACATTTAGTGAATAAACAGAAGCTATATCAAATACATAATAAATCAAAGCCACAATCTCAGGTTTGAGTCTTCCTTGTTCTCCCATTGAAAGTGGAAAACATCTTAATTTGACCTTTCATACCAACAAGAGACAATAAAAGTGTACATTTGGGATTTTTTTTTTGGAAAAAATTAAAAGGCATATAAAACAGTTTGTATCATGTAGAACCATCCTATTAAGCTATACACACACACACACATACACACGCAGACACTACTTTAAAAAGTAAGAATAACCTCAAGAATATTTTCTGGAATTTTGTGATGACAAAATTTATCCCTCTATATTTAAATTTATTGATAAAAAATGAGGGCAAATAGGGTAATTAGTTATTGATATTAAATGAGTTGAAAATAGTTAATTTTAAGATATTCGATGCATTCAATTATCTCTCGTTAAATCCAACATTTAAGATATTAATTTGCATTCGCCTTCATTAAATCATATATTTAAGGTTTCTTTGTTTCTTATCATCATTAAATTCTATAATTAAATACATACATAATAAATTAATAATTTCAATAACAAAAAAATGTATACTTTTAAAATCTACCTTGAAAAAAATAGTGTTTTCACCTAGGTGGTGGTAAGAAATTAAACCATTTGGGTCAAATGGGTCAATCCATGTTGCCACAATTAAAAAATCAAGTTCAAAATATATAAAATACAAAAAATATATAAATTAAAAAATAGAACGTTTTTAACATCATATATTTGACATATTAAATAATAATAAGTATGATAAATAATGTTTTAAAAACCAACTTGGATGCCAACTTGCTTTTGCCTTCAAGTCATAGGTCACCAGTTCGACTATCAAGGTCAAACGAGTCAAATCGCTCTGCGTCAATACTATGTATGTGTGTAAAAATACATTTTATTAATAAATAGTATATTTATGTTTTACATATATCATATTTATGTTTTACATATATTACAAATAATATATGTATTATGTTACATTTATTGATTTTTTAATTCTGTTTTAGATTTATTATTTATAAAAATATTAAAAATTATAAATTGAGGCCAAAAAAGGTTTTTTTTTTCGTGAAAATAGCAAGGCAAGGCGCATAATGCCCTTGGAACGTATAGATCTTGAAAAGTTACTAAAAAAAAAAGATAACCCCAATTGGATATTGGAGTGTAAAGTTATGGCTTCCAAAAGTTTGCACAAAATTAAGTGCGCAACCTACGATTTGGTTATTGGGTCGAACGGGTCAATAGTTAAACCACCCAAGTTAGATGTTTTTTAACCAAAGTGGTGAGTTTCAAAAGAATCAAACCTAGAATTAAGGCTGAGTGACGATTAAAACGGTTCAATCGGCTAGGTCAACAACAGGTTGAAAACATTGATGATAAATAAGAAATGTTTTTATTAATGATGGAAATGAAATATAAATTTAAAACCAATTGGTAGTAAAATTATTTCCCTATTATCTCTCATTGAATTTCATATCTAAGGTATATTCTTTTATTAAATCATATATTTAAGATATATCTTTTTCATCATTAAATTGTACTAATTAAATCCACAACGTTAATTTTAATAATATAAAAATAAATATTTTAAAAATAAATTGAAAAACAAAACCATTTTCTTTCCTCTAAGTGATGGGTAAGCAATTCAACCATTTTGGGGTCAAATTTGTTAATAAATAATACCATAATTAAATAATAAAAAAATTGAAATAAATAAAATATATAATACAAACAAATAAAAAGAACTAGGCATTTAATTAATATTGTATATTTATTATTATACTGAACAAAAATAAGTATGAAATGTAAGAAGTATATTTGTAAATGATGAAAATGGAATGACAAAATTAAAATCAACCAAAAAATGAAATGATGTCATAGTCAAATAATAAATTTTTTAAAAATAAAATATACAAAGAATCACAAAAATAAATATTATACATAAGATATAATGTTATATATTTATAAAAAATAAAATATTATATACATACATATAATATTATACATTCATTATATTCAACAGAAATAAATATTATACATAAGATATAATTTTATCAATAATTGAAATGTAATACAAAATTTAATGTCAACCTAGAAATCAAACTATTTTTCTTTACGTGTCATGAGTTAGTGGTTTGGGTCAAATGAATTAATCAATGATCCAACTTTTTTAAGAAATTCATGATGTCATAATTGAATAATAAATATTAAAAAAAAAGATAGAACATAAAAAGTAAAAATGTATAGAGTTTTGTCAAAGACATTTTGGAACATTTCTAATATTATATAATCATCATATTAAACAAAAATAATTGTTAAAATAAAAACTATTTTCATTTAAGACATAAATGGAATACAAAACATAATAGTAGTAGTAGTAATAATTGTTATTGTAATTTAATTTCTGTAAGTGCACATTTAGTACAAGTATTTAAGTTTATTTTTTACCATATTGTTAATTTTCAATTTCTATCGTAACTATTATATATATAAAATTCAAGTAATTAATATAAAAAGAAGTATACATGCAACACACATGCTTAATTACTAGTATATATAAAAGGAGGCTTTGAAGGTTTATGGTACATATAAGTTGATGCATAACCGGCACTTTAGGAGAAAAGGGAWGAAGGGGAAATTATTAATGGTGCATGGCACCAAATACCAAAAAACAAAAAGAATATATATAAGTAATTAACTCTAAAATAATATATTTCTACATATAATATATATTAATTCTCTAATTTATAAAAAGGTTGAATATTGAATTTTGAGGCCCAAAGATTTTTTTTTTTAATTTTTTTATGAAAAAATACAAACAGATTCAATGCAGATTTTTGATTTCCATTGCAAAATTATAAACATTCAAAATGTCTAAAACTCACACTCTATGCACCTATGCTACCTATAAATTGGCATCAATTCCAAACTGGCACCTAATTCAAATGTATTTTAAGCCTAGAGATTCTGACCCTGAGCTAAAGGGTCATTATTTTTTTTTATGCCTCCTTGAAACGCATATATCAATGGGACAATAAACTCTGACCCGATAATTGGATCGGATGGATCAACTGGGTGAACGGTTATTGACTAAATTAACGATTTTAGGTCAAAACCTGGGTTGAAAAAACCGGACCAGCAAATATGGCGGCAGTGTGATGGTCGACCGTCCTTATAAACCGCTATTCGAACGGTTCGACAATTGGACCGTCCTTCATGAATCAAACCCTACCCATAGGCATCCGTACACCTTCACTAGTCGCTTACTGCGGGTTAATCTGTGGAAGTTTGCATTGGCTTGGGGCTCAAGCAACTTGATCGTGCTTCAACACTAGCCGGAAAATCTCAACCGTCCACGTGTTTTTATTACACCGCCTCTCTCCCCTCTCTCTCTCTCAGACAGACGGAGAGAGGATCGTTCGTGTCTTCTTACAAAATTTTGATTTTAGAGAGAGAGAGAAGAACGCAGAAACTTAAAAAAAGAGAGGGCTCCAAAAAAGAAAATGTCCCAAAAGTTTCACCGAAGCGGGAAGCCCTATATCTTCAAAACTTCGTAGTTCAAACTTATAACCAGAACCTTCATTTTCGATTTATTCGACTTGCAGCAGAAATCTTTCTCTCTCCCCCTCTCTCTCTTTCCTTAGGGTTAGGGTTTTCAACTGGGGATTTCTCTCTACTAAGGGGTTTCAGACTTTCAGTTTCGGTCATTGGGGGGATTCCATTGAGGGGTTCGAATCTCCGAGTTGCTCAACTTCATTACCCTTTCTTTTATTAGGTTTTTTGCTTAGAAGCTGAAGTTATGCCGAGAATTGTGAAGAGGGAACTCGGAAGCAGTAGTAGAGCCGACATGGGAGGCCCCAGGATAGTCAAGCGCGAGCAGGGGAGCAGGGGCCGAGGGGAGAACGGAGAAGCTGAGACGAGCGATTCGGCTTCGCAGGGCGTCGTGGAACGTAGGGTTCTTAGGTCCCACTACCTGGCCATGAAGAACCTAATCAATGGTGAGGGGGTCTTTCTGTTTGTTTTCTTCAAAAGGGTTTGTTGTTGGAGGCATTTCATAGATGGGAGCTCATTGGGCTTTGTTATGGTTGGGTTTGTGATTTTGCTGATGGTCTAATTTGTTTGTTTGTATTTTTTTTTTTTGTGCAGAGGAAAGGGATGATATCTCTAGAGTGGATTCCGATAAATTCAGGAYGATTATCAATCAAGTTGAAAACTTGCATCAACTAGGTACTGAATTATAACTTCTCTATTCGTTCCCTTTATTGTGTCATTCTTGTTGCTTTTTTGTTTCCTGTATATATTTCTTTTCTCTATCCATATCATCTCCTCTGCTGTTGATTGCTATCCTCTTTAGAATAACAACATTTATTGAAGCTATTCATACACTGTTTAACAAAATCTTTGTAACAAGTGGTGGATGATTTGTAACAAACTATTCTTACTACTAATTTGACCACGATAGCACACCCTTAATGAATTGAAATATGCCGTTTCCTTTACTTGTTTTTGAATTGCTATTGGTTCTTTCTTTTTATTAAATCTTTTGTTGTGCTATGTTTTCCTGCAATTTCAGTTCAGAAACCAAGGGAACAAGTGGCGGATGCAGAAGCTTTGCTTGATATTGCTAGCACACTGGTAACCTCTGTTAAGTCACATGGCAATGAAGGTACGACCGCTGCAGATTTCGTAACTTCTCTGCTTAATTTTGGCCAACACGGTGGGTTGAGTGCAAACACGGAGGATGCCCGGAATTCGGTGGCTTGGGGGGAAGTTGGAATTGCAGTCTCAGACGTTTTCAGGAGGGTTAATGGATGCTGCACCATGTAAGTATTGATTTCAGTTTGTGATCAGTAAATGAGTGTTAAAATGTTTACTCGATGGTTAGTTTCTTATACTGCAATTAACTTTATCTTATATTGTTTTTTTTTTGAAAGGCTTGGGCCTATGGATACTGAGGTGAAGCAGCGGAGGGTTGCGGCTCAGCGAAAACGTGTTAGGCCAACTGAAAGTGCTCGCCCAGAAGAGGTAAAATGCTTTTTTTCCCCTTCCTAGCTTCAAAACACGTATTTTCAAGCACTATTTTACCATATGCTATCCTGACATGGCTCAGAGAATTGAAGATTCTAGTTATATGTGAGTTGCTAAGTAAATGGTAGACCTCTTATCAAGTTAAGGTTAATGGTTGAAATCATGGTTTGAAGTAAGTCATGCTCCTTGTAACTTCTGTTCCTAGCCAGGTTTATCGTGTTCTTGTCTGAACCTCTCAACATTCAATTTACCGCCAGTTAAAAACACCAGCTTACCCTCCTTTCTCAATTTTGAGTTTATTGTTAAATATATTGCAAACTAACATTTTTCCATAGTAATATGTCTTTGTATTGGATGGTCGCAGAAAAAGGGGCCATCACTTGATGCAATCGTATACTCTTGGGATGGCAAATCTATGAGTGTGGGTTTGAGTTTGTCAGTGACCACTTTGTGTAAAAAATGCCAAAGTTTAGGGCCATATCTAGTTGGCCCCTTCCTATAATTCAGATGGCAAGGACAAATTAGGCCCATAACTAGCCCTTCCTATAATTCAGATGGCAAGGGCAAACCAATATTGGTTAATGCTCAGAGTCTTAGACTTGAGCAATACTGAGAAAAAAAGACATTATCCATGCATGAAAAACAGTGGTTTAAATTGGTGTTTTGTTTAGGTTTGTTGCATATGCAGATTGACATTCCTTTGTCCAGGATATTGTAATTTGGTTACTTTAGCTTGTTCATATTCTTGTGCAGCTTCATGATGCAGGAGCAGAAGAGAGAACAGATACTGATATAAACATGGCAACCATGTTTGATATCTTGAGGAAGAAGAAGAAAGTTGGGCTTGAAAATCTGGTCTTGAATAGAAAATCTTTTGCACAGACAGTGGAGAATATTTTTGCTCTGTCATTTCTTGTTAAAGATGGGCGAGCATCAATTACTGTGGATGAGAGTGGTCGTCATCTAGTTTGTAAGATCTTTTCTAAGTTATGCATTGATTCCCTTCTCTCTTTGGTTGTTATGCCCGGTGCTGATGAGTATTTGTCTCTGTTTTTCCCTCTTAGCTCCAAAGAATGCTCCCAATGCCAATGCAGTAGCATCAGGGGAAGTTTCCTATAGCCATTTTGTATTCAGGTTTGACTTCAGGGATTGGAAGGTATGGAACCGGAGGTTATTAGCTTAACTTGAAATTCTCATTGCAGATGTAGCTTTCTTTTCTCATTTTTTAAATGCCTTTTATACCATAAAACATTTAAAAGTTCCAATTCTTATTTCAACCAGTGGTATTCTGGACTAATCCTTTGTTTTGTAAAATAAACTGTTCTGGCGTGCTTTGTACAGTTGATGATAACTTCTGTGGGGATTGGTGAAGAACTTATGCCTCATAGAAATCGAACAAACACACCAAGTGAGTCTCATTTGGATCAAGCTGTTGGAGACACTCATGCAGCAACAGCACCTACAACACCAATCAGAAAATTGTCTCGGAACCGTGGCTTAGTCATTCAGGAACAGTCAGTTGTAGAGGAGTCGCCTGAAAGCAATGATGCTGAACCAGCTGCCATTCGAAAGGGTAAGCGTAAGCTTGGTTGAGACTTGAGAGAATGGGTGAGGAATACGATCAGGGTTCTATTAAGTTTGTATAGTAATGAGCTGCAAAACGCGTCTAATTGTAGTTCTACTTGTGTATATAGATTAAAAGATTGATAACTACACCCTAAACCCTTCTACCGATAGGTTGACTTTGTAAATGGCATCTCCGCCGAGGCTCGTCATCTTTTATCCTTTTGTTTAGCTCATGTCGAATTCCATGTAATGGGAGATGCTGGAATGGTCTCATATCTTCTTTAATGATTTTTGTATTTGTTTCCCTTTGCTAGTCAACTTGATCTTGTTGGTATGCAATGTATTTATGATCTACCAAGCAAATTCAGAATTCTGGGTGATACCTTGATCCTGATTATGGCTATTTAGGACTTTGAGACTCCGTGATCAGCAAGCCCCCTCCCTCAAATCATGCAGGTTCAAGCACAAACAAAAGTGTGCAAGTGGCCTGGAGGCAGTCCAAACTGGCTCGGAAAAAAAGGTCCTATTATCGCAACGTTACCATGATTCTATTTGAATGGTCCGTGGTGGTTATAGGGAGTGCGCCATTTTATCTTTTGCTTAGTTTAGTGGGTAGATCATGCCAAATGTCGATCAACTTGCAGTGCTGAATTGGACAGTCTAAAGTTGTCCCCTTTCTTAGGCATCTCAAGATCAACACTTTGCATTAGGCCGAAGATTCAAAATTTGACTTTTTTATAATCCGAGTAAAGGCTCAGAAAAAGAATAGCTACATGTCATGTATTGAGTAAAATTTGCTTAAGCGATCATCCACGGAACCATTTCAGGATTTTTTTTTTGGTCATCAGTTTCATGCAAATATGGTATGTCATGTATCGAGTATTAGGCTATTAGTCAATATGGAACGACACTCAAAATCATAATCGAGTATTTGGGCATAGTGATTCCATATAAACGTGGAGTTTGTCATGCATTGATGATAGTATTAACCTAATTAATGCTAATAACATGACAAATATCCTAATGAAATTCTTCATTTTTATAAAATTCTTTTTATACTTCAATATCCAAACTTTCAAAATATGCTAATTTAGTATCTACCATAAAACTAATTGTTAATCAGCCATAAGTGGCATTTAAAAACACAAATGCCCTTCAAGTGTCATCTAATTTTTTTATCAGCCATCCAAATGTTGACAATAAATAGTCCTAAATCTTTTTTTCTTCTWTTCAAGTTGGGTCACTAAAATGCCTCAAATCTGATATGTGACCCTAACTTTATTGAATGTTAGAAAAAAGGATGACACTATTTTTTTAGTCAACATTTGGATGGTAAATAAAAAAAATTAAATGACACTCAAGACGTTTGTCTTTTCAAATGCCACTTAATGACTGATTAACGGTAGGTACCAGATTGACATATTTTGAAAGTTCAGGAACTGAAATGGCACTAAGCCCAAAGTACAGGATAATAATTGAGAATTTTTCCAATTTTTTATCTCTACTAATTATAACGTGTCACTTCACTGTTTGAGTGAGAATGGTATCACCCAAAAAGGGAAAAAAAAAAGGAACTTGAAGAAGCGAAAATGTGGAAGAATAGCTCATCAATCAGCAGATAAAATGAATTCCTACAAAGGGAAACGTTCATGGCATAATTGGCACAAAACTGTCAGTCGGATGAGTTAAAAAGTCCAAAGGCAATTCCGACTAAAACGGTGTTGCTAATCAACTTGTGGCTATTTCTAGCTCTAATTTTGCTTTGGGATATCAAGGTCCCCAAAAACAGGGCTGTCCACTCCTACTCCCATTGCATTTAGACCATTGTCGACGTAAATAACTGCCCCTGTGATGGCTGAAGCCAATGGTGATGCCAAAAAGGCAGCAGTGTTCCCTACCTCATCTGCCAGATATTTTTCTCGAATTCAGAAAGATTGTAATGTAAACATTTAATCAGAGTATAGGGAGAAAAAGAAAAGCAAGACGAACAAAATCAGCTTTGGTTAAGTGACACAAAATACTTACCCGCAGATAGTTCTTTTTGCAAGGGTGCATTGGCCACTGAATATTCAATCATTGTGTCAATGAAGCCAATCGCTTTTGCAGCACGGCTTCGCAGAGGGCCTGCATTAAGAGAGTTTAGAACTTCCGTAAACCTTAACCGTTAATTTATTTTAATAGTTACCTTAATCATTTAATAAAACCCCCAGCTGAAAACCAAGAAAGTTCAGTAAACTAAGGGGGGGGGGGGTATTTGTGATATTGTTTTCTAGAAGAGAAACAAGTGCCACATCAGCAAAAAATGAATTATTTTGCTGACTAGGCAATTTTTAATAGAAAAAAGGAATCATATTAGCAAGACCCCCTAGGTTGTATATGAAAACAAAAGTACCAATCTTTCCCGACTTGATTTTTTTTTATCAGCACTCCCAAGTTTATTGAGGAATGCTTACATGCAACCAAAAAAGTTCTTTGAACTTGCGATGAACTAATATTAGTTAAAAACCAATGAAAAAAGTTGGTAATAGATTTACGGCTGTCAATGGACCAGATACTGGTCTAATGCGATCCAGTCCATGGACCAGGTCTAATCCAATCCGATGAATGCTTTGGACCCTCTTGAAATTGGTTTTAATTTAGATAGGGTCCAACCCAAGCCAGGTCCATTGACACCCATACTCTCCTGTTAATGGACTGGATATTGGTTCAATTCAACCCAGTCCAATATAAATTCATTACAAATGGACCAGGTCCAATCTAATCCAATAAATACTTTGGACCATTGAGACTGGACTTGTCCGATTCAATGTCTTATTGGTCCATCCAATCCGTTAAAAAATTAATTTTGATTTGGGTGGGGTCCAACCCAAACCTGGTCAATTGACACCCCTAAATAGATCCCGCCATATTGCAAAGCCAAAGGTGCAAAACATCTCGTGTTRTGGTTTAGCTTTTAGCATAAAATTACATCTCATATTGTGAACAGATCTAACAAATCAACTTGACAATATTGTGCAATTAAGTAACTGTGGTATAAAAGAGTAAAAAGAATGATCTTGATATAAATATGCATGGGGTGATTATGGTCATCTGAAGGGTCCAGCATCTGTATTCCAATTTGATTCTAGCAAAAACTGAAAATCAAACGGAATCAAACCAAATAAGTCAGTTCAGTTTGGTTAATTTGGATATCAGTTTGGTTCGGTTTGTGTTGTTAAAAAAACAGTTTACGGTTTTGGTTCGGTTTGCATAAAAATTTTGACCGAACCAAACAGAAAACCCAAATGCTATGTTATGTATATCATATAATTAATTATTTATATTAAATGTATTATATTTTATTAATTTATTTACTGTTTTATATATTATACTTTTTCCTGAATCTCCCTTTGGGCTTTGGGCCCAATCGAACTTTTAGTTAGTAACAAATTAAAGGACTGCATGACTAGACTAATAATACTGGTGAATGGGATTGGGAAACTCAAAAGACACAACGCCCTACTCAAGAGTAGGACAAAAGACTAATAGTAATAATTAGTTATTCTGAGTCTCTGAGAGAGGTCACAGTCTCAGTCTCACATCACAGTAGGACACACATAACTGACCCAGTGTTGCTTCTTTTTTTTTTTTTTTTTTGTGGTTGCTTGCTTCATTCTTTGAGTTGCTTCTTTTAAATGTTACTAATGACAAAAACTGAACCGAACACGGAACAGTCGATTCAGTTGAGGGATATGGTCAAACTGAATAGTTGGTTTGGTCCTCGGTTCAAACTGAACCAACCAAATATACACCCCTAGTCACAGCCCTGGAGATGCATACTGCATGTTCTGATACGAGGACGGAAGACAAGTCTTTGGGAAAAAAATATGGCTTCGTATAAACAATAAAATTATGAAGATGAAGAATAGAATTACCAGCAGATATCGTATTGACTCTAATTTTGTGCTTCCTTCCAGCTTCAAAGGCAAGCACCTGCATCGGGCAAAAGGAAAAAAAACAAAAAAAAAGAAAGAAAGAAAAATATATTAGGACAAAAAAAAAGAGAKAACATAAGGAACAACAATATGTTTAGCCAGGAAAGGAAACACTTACTCGAGTATCACTCTCCAGAGCAGCTTTTGCTGAACTCATGCCTCCACCATATCTATGTGCAAAACAATCTGGATTAGAAATCTTTCTCCTTGATAACAGGTTCAATTTGCAGGACCTAAAAAACAACTAAACAAGGTATCAAGTTCATACCCAGGAATGATCCTCTCCGAAGCAATGTATGTGAGAGAAATAGCAGAACCACCTGTAATATAAATACCATATGTATAATAAATTCAAACGATATTGCTTGGTGCTGCAAATTATACAAGGAAATGTAAGGGGAAAAGAACAAATCTTGATCCTGATTAGAATAGCAAAGGGAATGCATGCCTGGATTCATTATTGGGATGAAATGTTTAAGCAAAGATACATAGGAATAGCTTGATGCAGAAAGAGCTGCAAGATATCCTCTCCTGGATGTTTCCAATAGAGGTTTACTGACCTGTATGCAGGATGTTTACTTGTTAGGTGCAAACAAAGATTGAAAGAAAAAGAACACCAGTGGAAAGAGAAAGAGTGAACCTCTGGTCCATTAGCAAGAGAATGCACAAGGATGTCAATGCTCCCATAATCCTGTTTGACAGACTCAGCAACTTCCTGCAAGACATCCAGAATAGATGAGAAAATAATAAGAAAATGGCTTGCTTTGCATGCTTTGTGTTATATTGGTCTAAATGAAGTTATCAGGTCCATGGAAGGACAAATATGGATTACTGTATCAGACAAAAGTGGGATGGCTAAGTCCCATTAATAGGCTACAAATTTGTTACATATGTTGGGGTATTTTTGTTTATTATGCAGATTTCAAGATTTAGAAGTGCCCCAAAAATTTAGGAGTATGGTTACACAAGGTAGAACTAGCAGTTCTGTTTAGATCATGCCCCCTCTATCAGATTCTGGACCTGGTAACTATGATACAAGACACTGCTTTAAATGGGTATGTCAGGCTTAGACCTTGACCCTTAGGCTTGAACCAAAGTTAGGCTTTAGTGAGGTTCAACCTTGAGACTCATGTCTATACGTCTACAAGTATAGTGCACATATGTCAACCTTTGATGTGTCTTATGTCAAGATTCAAGAACATGCATTCTGTCCATTAAATGAAATAAGGCTCTCATGAAAAGAAAGAGTTAAAAGACCAATTTAAGATTTCCAGGCGTGTTTTTGATTTGGATAGACATTTAAGGTTTCTTGGATAGGTATAGATATTTAGGTTTTTTCAACACCCATTTGAGATTTTGATTTTATATTAAGAGCTTTTTAATTGTTGAAAGGATTGTAAGAAAGTTCTTAATACTTTTTACTCCTCGTTTTATATGATGAGCAGTTAATTTATGAATTCTTAAACAAAATTGTCGTCCTTCATTGAATAATTAAACACTTATTCTCAATTAAGTTCACATTTCTTGAAATAACGAGATCTTGAGGTGTACGTCTCTTGTATTAGAAAATCCTAGCATCTCTTGCATTTTAAAACATTGATATAGTGTATAGACTTCAGATATCATTATAAAGCAGGAATGACCATACTTCATTCAAATATCCTTACAGCAGAGTATGTTCTGAGAAGTTTAATAGTATTCCCCTCATTTGACATTGATCACCTTGTATTACTTTTATTCTACATCAAACAAATAATCATAAAAGATAAGATACCTGAACAGTCCAATTTGAAGATACTGCATAACGTTTATTTGTTCTTACCTGCACAAAACCATTGTATACCAATTTAATGGGCTTAACCCTTCAAATGCAAAATGCCCAGTGTAGGAACTACCAAAGTTCTTCATATATGCTTACATCTTCAGGCACATCCTCAGGGCTGTCAAATACTGCATCTAGTGGATATATTCTGGCAATCTCCATAAGAGACCCATCTGGCAACCTGGAAGATCAAGTTTACATAAGTGGATAATATTATGCATGCTCAAATCCATCTAAATGCTATTGGAAAACATCAATTATAATTTTCCTACATGCGTGATTCATCAAACTTTCCACGACGTAGACTGGTCTCAAAAATGTTCAGTGCCTGAAAAAGATTTGTCAGATATTGAAAATTGGTGCTAGAAATTATTGCAATCATAGCAAAGATCGTAGAGAGAATGTTGTTTTACATACAGGTACCCATGTGCCGACAAGAATTTCAGCACCTGCAGCAGCAAGTGATTTTGCAATTGCCCAACCGTATCCATTGTCATCGGCTACCCCAGCAATAAATGCCTTCTTACCTGTAAAGAGAAGTAGGTCTTCATATCCAACTAAACAATCATTTAAATGGTGACTGATAAATTTGCAGTGCTTTGTTCAATTTTTTTGTAAAGGAAATAAAAGGAGYCTTGAACAATACATAACAATTAGTACTTAAATTTTCATTTTGATCAAATTGGTACTTTAATTTTCTTTCATACACGTTACATAACACGTAAATGGCATCTAGTTCTAAGCAGAATTACCCCAGATATCAATATTAATGCAAGTAACCATAACTAAAGTGAATCATAATCATGGTATTCAACCAATTGAAGGCTAATTCTCACTGGAATTACAACTCGCAAGGTGTTCTTGTCATTGGCACCAAGAAGTTGAAGGTATCCCTGCCTTCCAAAGGTGCATGCATGCTTGTTTGAACAGTGAATGTCACAATCTCTTGAAGAGCATGTAGCAAAGAAATAAATTATAAAGGGAGAAAAGAGAGGCAAAAGCATCTTCTATAAAGAGTTATACATATATGCAAATATATAAATATATATAGGAGGGACCTCTGTTGATTCTCCCAACTCTCTGAGGATTAACTTTTGATTTTTGACCCAGTTAGCTTCCCTACACAGCCAAGGAATCTTACAAATGGCAAATCAGTTTAGAGCACAAAGGGAGTCACCAAGTCTTTGTTCCTACCTGTATTCATGGAAACAATTTCAGTCCAAAATACCTTTCCATGAGTGAAAAATAAGCCCACTTTTGAGGTAAGTTTTATTTGACAAAGTTAAACATTGAGCAGCTAACATTCATTGCTAAAAACCACCAATACAAGGTGGAGCATATGGCTGATAAGCACTGTGGGACTGTATGTGCCTGACAATAGTTGATCCCCTATCTAATGGATGGTCTGGATCAGTCACAATATCTCTTTATGCAGCAGAAATAGATGGATTTGTATACGGAAGCCCCCCCTAGTTGACCCAATCGGTAACCTCTTTTATAGATAACTGAAAATCTTACTAAAAAACAGCAAATGAATATGTACAATACATATTTACAGAATCATAGATAGGCTGGAAACTTCCACCTATCCCCAACCAAAAGTACTATTTACAATTGAGCCCAAAATACTTGTTCTCTGTTCACCTCTTGTTTGGCTAAAGAATCAGCCAAACTGTTTGCCAATCTTTTTACCCACTTAACTGGTACATCCATGTTCCCAGTCAACCACCTAATCTCCTTAAATTCTTCCTATAACATCACAAAGCCTGACCACCATGAATTAAACAAACTGGCAACCACCCTTGAAATCTTGAATCACCTTCTATTATGACTTTTCCCAGATTCAAGCCCTTCGCTAGCCTCAATCCTTGTAAAACGGCCAAAAGTTCCACTTTTGGAGAATCCCCCAAACAGTTCTGAGAACATAGCCTTCACCACTCCATTCTCATCTCTAAAAACACCTCCCAAACCTGAAGGCCCCAGATTGCCAAAACTACTGCTGTCGAAGTTAACTTTATGAAACCTCTATGTGGTGGCCTCCATTGCATTTGAGTTATGACCTTTTTGGACAAAGTACCATCTACTTTTAAGTTTTATCCACTTTCTATAGAAGTCATCCATCGAGAAAGCTGAGAAAACCTCCAAGGTTTTAATCCAATACACCACTCTCACCATAATACACTCTACTATAGCTTCCATGGTTCTATACCGCTCCTTAAAGATTAACATATATATAGTTAATATACATAAATATTAAATTTTGTATTATAATATTTATAATACATAAATATTATAAAATGGCACATATATTATATGGCATATATAATATAATATATTTACATATATTAAATATAATGCATATAAAGAAATAGGTCTAAAACCAGCCCAGCCCATGATCACCCATAATCTCCACATGATTCTCCCTCTTTTCCTTGGCCATCTAAAAGTTGATGAATTAAACAAACTAGCCAAATTAATTGGAAAGGTTTTCTTGCCAAAACCGAACCAAAGAGTTAGAAGAACCCCATTTTCAACCTCAGGGTCCGACAGGCTCCACTTCTAATTCCAGCAATCCCATTCTTCCCCAAATCAACCCATGTAACTGTGTCTTTTCAGTTTGTAATACTAATGTCTGCTCTTTATCCTATGTGCCAAATACAGATCGAAGTCCAGAGGCTGCTACCCGTGAAGGTGGGGAAAGGGCAAGAGATGGCAGTGGAGACAGGGAGGGTCAGGAGGGTGAGATAGGAAATGAGGAAGAAGCAAAAGGAAATAAAAGAATTCTGGAAATTCTTGAATGCCTGTTAAAGGAAGTAGTTGGGAGCAATAAACAGAAGGAAGGGCCAGAGGGAATTAGAATAGAAGAAATTAAGGAGAATGGGGACAAAGGTGAGGAATCAAAACAAGGAGGGAGGAATAAAAAGTCGGAAGAAAGAGAGTTGACTAGTGAGGATTCTATGGCAGCTTTTGTGCAGAAGTTGGGATGTAAAGTGAAAAATCCAAATGTCTTAAAAGTGTTTCTACAAAAAAAGGGAGAAGAAACTAGGGCTAAAAGGAAAAAATTAAGTGAATTGGAAATATTGATGAAGGATGTGGAAGGAGATAGTAGTCTTGGTGTTAAGAGGGACGGGAGGAAAGGGAATAAGTGAGGGTAAGAGGAATAAGTGGTCAAGAGTACAGCGGAATGAAGATCATAAGTTGGACTGTCAGAGGGCTAGGAAATGCTAGGAAGAGAGCAGTAATAAAAGAGGTCATTAAGAAAATAGACTCAGATGTAGTTCTCTTGTAAGAGACTAAAAGAGCAGATTTTGATATCAAGTGGGTAAGAAGTGCTTGGAGAGGTAGGGGGATTAATTGGGCATTTCTGCCCTCATGGGGGTTTGCAGGGGATGTTGTGACAATGTGGAAGAAAGAAGTACTAGAGGGTAAGGAGGAGCTGATAGGCCAATTTTCAGTTTCCTTGAAGTTTAGACAGGTGGAGGATGGGTTTGAATGGGTGTTAACCAATGTCTATGGACCGAATGACTATAGAGAGAGGAGGCAACTATGGGAAGAATTGGCTAATATAAGGGGTTTGTGGGAAAGACCTTGGTGTTTAGGAGGTGACTTCAATGTAATCAGATTCTTGGAAGAAACAAATAGTATTAGGCAGAGGTCAACCATGAGCATGAGAAAATTTAATCAATTTGTGGATGCCTTTGGACTTAAGGAAATCCCATTGTCACATAGCTGTTTTACCTGGTCCAATCTCCAAGTGAACCCAATCTGTTCCAAGTTGAACAGGTACTTGTTTTCAAATGATTGGGAAGAACATTGGGGAAGTTTGAATTCTAAAACACTCCCAAGGGTGACATCTGATCACTGGCCTATAGTAATTTGTAAGGAGGTGAGAAATGCAGGCCCCACCCCTTTTAGATTTGAAAACATGTGGCTTGGACATCCGAGTTTTATTAAGAAGGTCAAAGATTGATGGTTTGAGAGTAATCCAATAGTGAAATGGAGTGGAATGAGGTTCTATAAAAAACTCCAACATCTGAAGGGTAGAATCAAGGAGTGGAATTTGTTAGAGTTTGGCAGACTAGAGGAAAGGAAACAAATGGTGACTGCTCAAATTGAGGCATTGGATAGTAAGGAAGGGAGGGGATGTTTTACAGAAGAGGATAAAGAGCAAAGATGGAATCTGTGTAAACAATTAGAGGATTGTCTTTTGCAGGAGGAAATAAGTTGGAAACAAAAGTCAAGGTGTAAGTGGTTAAAAGAGGGGGATAGAAATACCAAGTTTTTTCATGCAATGGCAAATGGAAGGAGGAGAAAGAATTATATCTCAAGTTTGGAGATTGAAGGGGCAACGATTTCCAATCAAAGTGAAATTGCAGGGGCTTTTGCAAATCATTTCAGGTCTATCTTTAGAAGACCCCTAAACAATAGGGTTTGGATTGAAGGATTGGAATGGCCTACATTAAAGTTGGAGGAAAAGGAATGGCTGGAAAGGAAATTCGATTTGGAAGAAATAAAGGAAACAGTGTTCCCTATGGACAGATCAAAGGCACCAGGCCCTGATGGTTTTACGATGGCTTTTTATCAAGATTGCTGGGAGATTTTAAAAGAGGACCTAAGGATAGTGTTTGATGAATTTTATTCTCAAGGAGTGATAAATCCGGGGCTAAATTCCACATTCATTGCCTTGGTTCCCAAGAAAAGGAATGCAAATCACCCAAGGGACTATAGGCCGATTAGCTTGGTAAACAACCTTTATAAGATCAATACTAAGGTGTTGTCCATTAGAATTAGAAAAGTGCTCCAACAATCATAGCAGACAACTAAGGAGCTTTTGTGAAAGAGAGGCAGATAACAGATCAAATACTTATTGCAAATGAGAGTTTGGAGGAGTTCAAGAGATYCAAGAAAAAAAAGGGGTGGTTTGCAAACTAGACTTGGAAAAAGCTTATGATGTGGTGGATTGGTCTTTCTTGTTGGAGGTGATGGTCAACTTTGGGTTCGGAGATGGGTGGTGTAAGTGAGTGATGGGTTGCATAAGAAAATGCCATTATTCCATTTTGATAAATGGGACAGTGGTGGATTTCTTTCTAGCTTTGAGAGGAATAAGACAGGGAGATCCTCTTTCCCTATTCTTATTCACGATGGTTGCAGAGGTTTTGGGGAGATTAGTTTCTAGAGCAGACTCCAGGGACTTAATAAGAGGATGGAGAGTTGGAAGGGAGAATGTGCCACTCACTCATTTGCAATTTGTAGATGACACAATACTTTTCTATGAAGGAGGGGACCTAAATAGAATAAGAAACCTGAAGCTCATTATACAACTCTTTGAGCAAATGTCAAACCTCAAGTGAATTTTGAGAAGAGCTATCTAGTGGGGGTAAATATGGGGGAGAGGGAGATAGTGGAGTGTGCAAACATCCCRGAGTGTGCAGTTTCTAATTGGCCCCTAAATTACCTTGGTTTGCCATTGGGAGATAACCCGCAGAAAGATGAGTTTTGGAGTCTGGTTGTGGAGATGTTTGAAAAGAGACTTGCAACTTGGAAGAACTATTTGTCTCTTGGTGGGACAATCACTTTAATTAGGTCTACTCTAGCTAACCTTCCTATTTACTTTTTATCAGTCTTTAAGATTCCAGCTAAGGTGGCTAGCAGGTTAGAAAAACAAATGAGAGATTTCCTTTGGGAGACGGGGGAGGAGAAGAAGGACCATAGGGTTAGGTAGGAGATGGTTTGTAGGAGCAAGAGGGAGGGAGGTTTGGGTATTGGAAATATAAAGAGTAGGAATTTGGCACTACTAGGGAAGTGGCTGTGGAGATTTTCTTTGGAGAAGGATAAGCTGTGGGTGAAGATAGTGGGCAACATTCATGGGGTAGCAGACAATGGATAGGACTCTGGGATTGTGGCAAGGACTACAAGAGCAGCACCTTGGAAAGCTATTCAAGCTATTTTTCCTTTGTTCTCTCCATGGATCAGGTATGACTTGCACTCAGGTAACCTCATCAATTTTTGGGAAGATGTCTGGATTGGAGACTCTCCCTTAAAAGATCAATTTCCGAGTCTTTTCACTCTTTCCACTCTTAAAAATGAACCAATCTCCTCCTTGTTCCTTCTAACTCAACTTCTAGGTTTAGCTGGAACTTGGGCTTTAGAAGGGAAATTAGGGACACAGAATTTGATTATGTCTTATCCTTGCTATCCATTCTTGAAGGGTTTTTTTTAGAGCCTACAAAGACCGACAGTAGAATTTGGTCACATGTGCTTCCTTCTTTAAAGCTCTAGCTCAACCTCCTTCTTTGGGTCTGTCTTTCCTTGATAAAGAGGTGTGGTGTCTTCCTATACCCCCTAAGGTTTGGAGTTTCTGTTGGGAAGCCTTTCTGGAAAGAGCTAATACATGTGATCTACTTCAAAGAAAAAGACCCAACAGTTGTTTGTGTCCTCATTGGTGTATTCTCTGTAAAGCTGATGGTGAATCTGAATACCATTTATTGGTTTCCTGTCGATTTACTAAAAGCATTTGGGAATGGTGTACTACTTTGTTTGGGTGCAGGTGGCCCCCCCTTTGAATGTGCAGAGTTTATTTAGGTTCATGCCTAGTCGGCCAACAAAAAGGGCCAAGGCTATGTGGAGATGTATGAGGGCTGCAGTATGCTAGACTATTTGGGAGGAGAGGAACTCACGGATATTCTCAGAAAAGGAGAGAACCTTGGAAGTAATATTGGAAGTAATCCATATTAGGGTGATACATTGGCTGAAAACTTTGGCCTTGTTTGCAGACTTCTCAGTAGATGAGATAGTAAAAAACTGGAAGGAAATTGCAATTAGCCTCAGCTAAGAAGGCATCACTCTCTTGCTGGAGTCCCCCATCTAATGGCTTTCTTAAACTAAATTTTGATGGCAGCAATATGGGTAATCCAGGTCCATCTGGAATAGGGGGAGAAATAAGAGATGAACATGGAAATCTGTTAGTTATGTTTTCAGGACCAATTGGGGAAGGAGACTCCCTGCGGGCTGAGATTCTTGCTGCCCTTGAAGGGGTTCGAAGAGCCAAGGGTATGCAAATTAGAAAGCTRATTATTGAAGGAGATTCTGAAGTGGTGGTGAACTGGTTAAAAGAAGATAACTCAAGGATATGGAAGTACAACAATGAAAAACGAAAATTCAAGTGGCTGTCTAAGGATGTTAAAAATCAGTACAAATGGGTTAAGAGAAGTGCAAACTCACTGGCAGATGGTTTAGCTGGGCAAGGGGTTAATAGAACCTCTTTGTTTTGGGCTTTATTGTAATTGTATTTGACGCTCATAGACTGTTATAGGGAGCTAAGATTGTTTAGCCCCCTTGCTTTGTAATTCTTCTTAATTTTAATGAATACATTTCACAGTCATTGATAAAAAAAAAAAATCCTATTTTTCCATTCTGTTTGGTTCAGTGCCCATCCACCTCTAGGTGGCTTTCTATGCACGTTACAAAACCATCTTAGTCTACAATCTCTCATTTTATACCTATTGGAGCTACTTTCGGGTTTCCTCGAATGACTTCATTTCTGACCCTATCATTTCTAGTTTTTCTGCTCATCCATCTCAGCATATGCATTTCTGCCACACTCATTTTTTGGACATGTTATTTATTAATTGCCCAACACCCTCCTCCATGCAACATTACTGGTCTTACAACTGTTTTATAAAATTCTCCTTTTAACCAATGTGGCATTCCCCTAGCACATAAGATTCCGAATGCTCCTGTCACCTAAAACTAAAAGAACCTTTTTATATTTACGTATATACTGTTATATTATCAGCACTTATGAATTATGACTTATAATACTACTCCATATAAGATTACTATAGCTTAAACATATCATAACCAAATCTCTCTCCGAAATGGAATTATACTCAAATAATACTAAATTCAGTGCAACATCAGTTAGGAAAGAAGAGTTAAAGTTTCAGTAATATGACAAAGACTACTAAATTGTATTTGAAAAGAAATAGCTGAATATTTCCACATCTGCAGATCTGATCGTCATGATCATGAAACTTTAGGATATATTGAATGAGCAGTGTTAAATGTGCTCCAGTCAAGTGGTTGGTGATCCCGTGGAAATGCAGCAGTAACTCTACCAGGAACATTTTCTTGGTTACTCAGCTTTGTATGGCCATATTTTTTAAGGTTTTGACCTCTATCACAGTTATAAAATAGATACAAGAGGTGAATGGGCAACTGCAAACAAAATATTAGCACAGAAATCCCAGGTGGCATATTGTCTGAATTGGAGCACAACTACAGAATGTGAGAGCAAGAATACTCATTTGGTTCTGTTATACTGTATAATTTGTTTCATGGAAAAATTAGTTTCAGTTATCATCAAAGTAAGTGTCTCTCCAGTACTAATACACATTTCATCATCTTTGCAGAATGCTCTCCATTTATTTATGCTAAAAGGGCTGGGGAAGAAGAAAACATATATTAAAAATGTAGCACATGAAAAGACCGCTAAGAATGTAACAGAATCATTAATAAAACTTAGGATTCTACTTCTAGAAAAATGGACTCTGCTTACTATATAGCAGCAATGAACTATAGAAGTCAATGGAATTCATCAAGAGAAAAATTCATTAGACTAATACCATGAGTTTCATGTTCTCTAATTTGGCTTCGGCATAAACATGAATGCCACTGATTATTTGGGGAAGGGTCAAATGGCGATGTTAATAAACCAGCATTCAGGACATAGAAACCTCTAAAAAAGACAAAACAAAATATCTATACGTATCAGAGAATAGGAAATACATGAGATATCAAACCTCTGAGATCAATTGGCAACCCTGGAATTGATTTGCTCTCACTAGCTTCAGACATTGCCCTTGTAACAAGCTTATTTAGTTTAACAGGAGTGGCTGAAAAGTTCCGGATGAACAATTGTGCAGAAGATATATGAGAAGAGCTTGTAAGCTTAGAACGTGAGACGCCCTTAGAATCGGCACAGACAATAGCAGAGGTTGCCTTGAACATCCTACGAGATGAAGAAACACAGGGCCTTGTTGTTGCCATTTGCAGGCCAGAAGCCGCAGTTGCCGCCATTTTCAATAAATTAAATCCCGAAGCCACAAAGGGAAATCTACAGAAAACAAAAAGATCAGAGTTATTCTACAAGAACGTATTTATGCAAGACCGAGATTTAAGCAACATTTAAGCTTCAGGTACAGTAAAAAATGCATCAACAAAAGAAATTCATAGAACAGAGACCTACTTAGGCATTTAAATCTCAACCCTCACTCTGCAGAAGAAGAAAATATTATAAAGAACGCCTAAAAGAATAAATGAAAATAATTCTGCGGATAAATCCTAAATCATCAACATTTAATAGTGAATTAAGTCGCAAATTTTCTTCAAAATCTTCTAAAGCACACATAAATCTGCAAATGAAGTTGAAAAAGAACCACATTTTCCATTTAAGGCCCCGTAAGCTTTATCCAGACCAGAGGAGCCTAAGCAAACATCAACATTGAACAAATCTAATATCCGAATGTACACAAAAAAATGGACAAAATGCGAAAAAAAAGATGCGAACTGTGGCCAAACGAAACGCATTCCTAGATATCTTAATAGAACAGCAGATCAAAACTATCTTTCGCCATTTCTGCTGAATCTCACCTCTTAGCGACCGAAATCGCGGCGTTCAAGTGTTGCTGGGTTAAAGCTGGGGACAGAAACGGAGGGAATCTTCAGTTCCCCTCGTTCTTATCAGCGGCTGATTTGTCGAAACCCTGGAGTCGGTATCAGACTCTGAAGCACTGAGGAAGTTGATTTATAGAGGCGTCGATGAGATCGAGGTCTCCCTCCTCTCTAGTCTCTTTAGTAGTGCTTAGCAAATACCATTTATACCAACTGTTGAAGCTTTGGAAATGTCGAGTGAATTAAGCATATGACAATAATCCTCTACGGTTTAGGTTCGCAGGTATCTTCCTGCGAGTCTAATACCATTTTGGCTAAAATGGGAGTTCGGATCTGCTCATCACAACAATTCATTGCTGGCCAGTGGCCACATTCATCCAGCCGCACAGCAGGATCATTGGCTATATAGTAGTGAGATGTTCCCGATGTACGGCTAGATGGAAGTGGCCAGCAATGTGCCAATGTGTGTAGTGTACAGATCCGAACTCCAAAATTGGTTAATTAATCAACCAGGCACCGATTAGATGACAAGTAGAGGTAGGCTTTGAAGGCGTGAAATGAATGATCCGGCGCCTGGGCCTTGCTTTTAGCAACGTCCATGGACTTACAAGTACATTCGGGTTTTTAATACCCATTTAGGAGAGCTGAACGGCGAAGTGTATATGCAAATAACACGGATCGGTTTGAAACCGAATCCGACCCGATAAGAGCATGATTCGGATACCTTCCTCAATCCTAACAAGTCGGTCCGATTGGGAAAGTTGATCCGTTTAGTTAATAGATCAAATTTCGGATATACTCCAATCTGATCGGTTATGACTCGATCTAACCTGTTAGTTATGAAATACTATATATTATATATTATATATGCATATTYTACATATTATTCATATAATTATATATTATCTATTATATATTTTTTATTACAATTCTAATCAAATCGGATATTGGATCGAATCAAATATACCCTTTACCGAATCTGATGAGATTTATTTGCAAGCCTATCGAAGCAGTGGTTTTTGGTTTTTTGAGATGGGCCCTATAGGGACACTTTTGAAATATGTTTGGTGAAAAATCCGGAGGGCCCAAATCAGTCATTGGCTAGCTATTTGAAGGGCTGTCCGCTTTAATCTTTATAAGGCTCCATTTGGGACGTTTTCAGTGTCTGAGCCACTTTGGTTGATCATCCATGTTTTGGATAAGTTATTTATAGTAGCTTGATGTAAAAATCATGATTCTGACACTTAGAACGTTCATGTTGGTTTTTCAGGATTTTGATCAAACACAGTTTTAGAAGTTTCTGTGTGGGGTCTAGTCCAGAATGTTGGAAGTCATGTTTCAAAAGCCCTGGCAAGTGTTTCAATGTAGTTGAACCTAAGGATCAAAGTATTTGTATTAGGTATTATGTTAGACAATTTGGACATAGATATAGATACGCTTTGGAAAAAGCATGCATATTGATAGAAGATATGGAAACGCTTGGATATGTTAGAGAAATGCATCAATAGCACTAAATCCAAAGCCAAATAATCTATGAATAAGGTATAAACACGAGAAATCCATACTAATAGGTTATATGAAGAGAAATATTACAATCAACAATATCTAGACTCTAACATGTACACATCATATAATAATTATCATTCTATTTCAGTCTTTTATAATTATACTTTTCAATTATTATTATTATTTTTGTTGCAAAATTTGTTTATTTAGTATTTTTATATAAATAATAACTCTAATTTTCCAATTAATAAACATGTATTCATTTTTAACATATAAGTGTTTTATTTTATATATAAGTGTAAAATAAAACATACAAAACATTTAATATAGATAAAATAAATGATTTTTATAATTTTCCATTTTTATTATATTTTTGGGAAAAGCTTGCATCTTAATTTTTCAGTTTTTATAATTAAAATTATTATTTTTTAGGAAAATTTATTTATTTAATGTTTTATATAAATAATAACTATTTTTTCAAATAATAGACATGTTTTCATTTTTAACCTATAAATTATATGTAACATAAACATATAAATCATTTAAAATAAATAAAATAAATTATTTTTATATTATTTAAAAAATAAATCTTAAATTTTTTGTTTTAATTTTTAAAATTAAAACTATTTAAATTTTTAGAATTATAATTTTCAATTTTTTAGTCCAAAAGGGGTCAATATACAAAAACAAAACCATTTATCGATCCAACACGAAGGCACATGACTCAAGAGATATATATAATCCACTCGTGGTGTATCTCATATTTGTTAACCTTTGGATGAACCAGCTTAGTTGAATCTTCAACTCAACCTTCCTTGATGGGTCATTAGTAGTTGGAGTTGAGATTCTCAATGCCTATTTGATAGGGGGTTGAAGTGAAGCAACTTCTAGATTTCTAAGGTAGGCCCTACATGGACGTCCTATAAGCTATGCTTAGCTAAAAATCACAGCCCAAAATTGTTTGTCAATTGACCATTTGAAGGGTTGCCTGCTTCAATGTATTTGAATAGTTTATTGGGAGTGCTTCAAAGCAGTTAAACCAATTTAGCTGAATCTTCAGCTTTACCCTCCCAAAATGGGCCCTCATATTTGTGGCTTTGGACCTATTGAAACTCACATCTTCATTTTTGTAGTTATGTAGTTTTATGCCTTACTAGAGAATGACCCCATATTAAGTACGGGGGCAATTACACTTATATGTTTTTTGTAATAATATTATTTTATTTGAGGTTCACTATTTATTTGGTAATTATATTAAATTTTATTTTTATTTATTTTAAATAATGAAATCAAGTATAATTTATAATTTAAAAGCATTTATAATCACTCCTTTTATTTAAATTAGAAAATTGAATTACAAATATTAATATGGGCTCCATATCCTTTGGTATAAATAATTTTTTATAAGTAGCCGTGTGTCTAAAATTGAATTGGAGTGGATACTTTTTTTTTCTATGAATAACCACATGTTTAAAGTTATCACTTTTCTTTTTCCGAGAGTTTAGTTAACTTTCACTTTTTGTGAAAGTGGATAAATACATGTATGAGGAATATAGTTTCTATTTGAGAGTGGAAAGTACCCACTTATTGGATATTGTTTATTGAACAAATAGAATGCCATGTATTTGAGGGAGTGGCTCTCTTTTCAAGGGCTTTCCTTTAGGCTGTGTTTGGTTCGGAGGAAAGAGTAGGGAAAAGAAGGAAAAGATAGGGAAACCTTTACAAACATTGTATGGGTTTTTCTACTTTTCCCTTTCTTTCCCTACTTTTTCCTTCAAACCAAACATAGTTTTAATATATATTAAAAAAGACAACACTATACTCTAAGTATGGGGCAGGTATTCTGATCAATTTTGTTAGAAACTCATTATTTATATTGTAAGTATAGGCCAATTTTTTATTAGATATGTAGAATTGTTATTTAATTTAAGAGATTAAATCAAATTTATTTGTAAACATTAACTTATGTCATTGATTCTACATCATTTGAAATGAGTTTTTTCGTGGAGATACCACTAACATTTTAGAGGATATAGGTAATTACCATTTGAAGCTCATACTTTTTTTTTTTTGAGTTGGTAAATAGATGTTTAAAAAGAAATGCTTTCTACTTCAAATATCAACAAATCAAATTTGGGTTTACTTATCATCCATTTGGAGCCCCACCCTAAATAACAAAGTCCTCTTCATGTTAAAATCAATACCCATGGATGCAAAATGTGGTGTGGTCATATCAGTTGTAGTGTGCCCAATATCAAATTAAATCACCTATTGTATGCTCGTATTAAACTAAATTCCCCAGATGTGGTGTGTGCAAATCATTTTTATAATGTTTCGCATGGATTCATAACATAATGGGCAAAATAAAATATAAGTTATTAATTTTAATAATTACTATTTTTTATCATAATTAATAATTATTATATTATCTTGTATGTTGTGCTGTAAATTAACCATTCAATTTATAGTCAACCATCCATTTTATCTACCTTACCAAACATTAAAAGCCCTTTTTATTAAAATTTACACTAATAGTGTATATTAGAGTAAGGGGTGGGATTGTAAATATCTTGCTTATTATGATCAATATGCAAGATTGTTTGTGCTCTTTAACTCGAACTTAGAACTTAGAACTAAAAAGAGCTATGCATGGGCAATTTAATATAGATTTGTGGGGGGGGGGGACAATAATGGGTTTTATTAGAATCAATTAAGACTTGGGAGGGTTTTTATTTGAGTAGTGGGTGGATTTTATAATAGATAATTAAGGTTGGGTTTTTTTTTATTTTGATTTTTTATATTTTTTATGATTTAATTTAAAAATAACTAACCACATATGTCAGAAATGAGGGGAGGAGGGTTGTGTGAGCATTGTGGTGAGAGAACTCCTTTGTATATATAGATTGGTAGAATCATGGTTTTCAAAACTGGTTTGGACCGGATGGTCGGATTGGAAAAACTAGGAATCGGTCAGGTGACCGGTTCCATTTTTCCCCAAAACCAAAATTTTCCCAAAAATCGTTGATTTTGGTCAGCAAACTGCTGACCTGGGCGGTTAACCATTTGATCCATTCGAACATTTTTTACCATTTATTTTATTTTTTTTTGTTAGAACAGGCCGACTGTTTGACCCGGGAACCAGACCCCTGACCGGTTCGTTCTCCAGGTTGGTTTTAAAAACCTTGGGTAGAACTACAAATATGCAGCCATTTGGATTTTGGAGTTGCAAAGATCAGCCCAAGTCCAGCCCAACATTTCTAAATTTTAGCCCTATAATTAGGAATGGCAACGGGGCGGGGCGGGGATAGGGAGAATTAGAAATGGCCTCTCCCCATCCCCGTCCCTGCAAAAATCCCCATCCTTGCTAATGGGGACAAGGTTATCCCCATCCCCATTCCCCATGATTTTTTGTTATGTTAACAAATTTGTTTTTATTTTTATTTTATTTAAAAAATAAAAATAAAATAATTAAAATTTACAATCCTATTAGAAACGATTCAAACTTATTCAACCTATTTTTTAAAAATATTAATATATAGATGTATGTRTACATATGTACATATATAACGTATRCATACATATAWACATATATTAGTGGGGATCCCATGGGGCGGGCAGTGCTCTCCCTGTCCATGCCCCGTCCCTACTAACGGGGATGAAAATTTCCCATCCCCGCCCCATTTGG